TACTATTAATTTGAGCAGTCGTTTTTTATGCAACGGTGGCATTTTCCTTAGGGTTTTTTTCTTCAACCACACCCTCGGGATTCGAACGGCTATTAATCTGGACTGACGCATATTCGCTTTGCCGAGGTTTCTTAGAATTTTTAATCAATGGCTCATAAAGCTGAGGAGGCCGCGCCTCATYAACGGTACGTCGAGTTGCAGAACTGAGAGATTGGTAATGAGAAGCATTGTCTACCACGGCTTCACAAGATGCATCGCTTTGTATACCGGGTCTGACGTTGGCATCATTTGAACAGAACGTCTCTTTGTCTGGGATGCTTTCCAATTCTACATTTGTCTGARGACAAAAGGGTAATATAGACAAAGCTGATTAAATATTTCTGTTATATTAATTTAAAAGTTATTTTTGATCCAATCCTTGGATTTGTCACTCATTCGCGTTATGTTATTAGAAATATTGGTGGATACATAGTAAAAAAGAATACCTTATTCTCGTAGGATGTATTCCTAGAGCGTTTAGTAAATCTGCAATGAAGCATTAAGGTAAATGTAGCATAATTAATAGAAAKCACTCAACCACTCATTCAATCTACTAATCCATCCAAACAGCCAACCACCTCACCTGTTCACCAATTAAGTATCTAACAAAAACCAAACAGTTGGCAAAACCAACAAACAGATACGCAAATTGGAGAAAAACACATATAAGAAAAGGAGATTTGTAAGAACAAGTACCAAAAGAACCTAAGTTTACTTGTAAAATATAACTTGAATGGTGATATACGTACTTGCATTTGTTTTCTGCTCCTGAAAAGGAATAGTCAATTTAATATTTCATCTTTGCTTTTATGTCCTTTATTGAGTAAGATTTTCATATAGCGTGCGGGACATTTTCCCCTATTTTCTCTTCCTCTTTTCTTCCGTTAATTTTTTTGCAAACTTTGATCCATTCATTTGTTGGTTTGTTATTCTTTTCCTTCCTGCCTCGATTCCTATCTTTCTTCTTTCTTTCTATCCTTTTTCTATATATATTACCAATATATATATTTCAACCACATGATTAGTTTATATTTGGCCGATCCATTCTTCGTTTTCTCCATTTCTTTATTTTAAGCCATTGGGACTGATCATAAAACGACGATGACTGGACACAGCATCAGCTCAAYAAAATGATACACATATTATTCAACAACTTACTTTGTGTTTTGATCAAGGTGATTRTAAACAATGCGTTAGCCACCAAAGATATCACCAAAATCGTCACCAACGACGCGACGATAAATGTAGTATCTAAAAAAATAGCAGACAAAAGGGATATATACATTTATAGTTTTTTCCAACACTTGCGTCATGATGGCGGTCTTCTAATCACCGCGGTGCGGTGCGGTGCGGTGCGGTGCGGTGCGGTGCGGTGCGGTGCGGTGCGATAATGGTATCATACATGTAGGTTAGTGTGTGGTAAGGTATGTATACGTAGTTTAGTATAATTGGATTTATGTGTGATGTGGTTGGCATAGTATCTTAGCTAATCCTCTCCTTGCTACAAGTCACAGACAAGATAATTTCAAGGTGCATGAAGGTTTACTTACGGTTTTCAGGATTTTGTGTCACGATTACTCTATTAACTGGATCTCCATAACCAGCTTTATTCCTTGCATATATTTTTACGGTATATTGTGTATTCTCCTTCAGATCTTTTACTTCWGCAAATGTATTTTTACTGATAAACTCCCTCGGTGGGTCAGTGTTGATCTCCACTTTGTAGTCAATGACAGGGGTTCCACCTTTAACATCAGGAACACACCAGAATATGGTGATCTGTGTGCCTTTGGAATCACTTATGGAGTGTGGCAGCGCTGGTTCGAATGGAGTAACTAGTGATGATAATAATATAAGATAAATTTAACTTTCAGCGAACGATTAGTATTGATACTAATAAAAAAGAATACGACATGCAGATGTTAGTTTTATTGCATCTATCTTCATGAACTGAACTGAACATGAACTTAAGATATGAATGCGTCTAAAGTAATATGCTATAAATATAAGCCGCAAGCTTCAAATTGGAGTCCTTGGGCATAAATTCATTAGAGCACTAAGTTTTACTTACATAGCTGCTTGACCGTGATGTAATGTTCTTCGCTACCAACTACATTAGTAACAAAACATCTGTATTTTCCATAATCTTCTGGAGCRATGGTTGTTATGTTCAACTCACTTGAAAATGTACCTTCTTCATTGTTTGAGGTTATATCATCTTGCTTAGTTATTTTTGACCCTGATGGTTTATACCACGTGGCACGAGGAACAGGATAACCAATGAATGAACAGCGCAAA